GTATACCTTATAAAACCAACACAAGAACAATATTTATTTTTCATTTTTCCAAATATTTAGATAATAAACAGAGGAAAATATAAATAAAAAGAATAAATGTTAATGCTGGTTTAAAAATATTACAATAATTTGTTCAAGAAAATTATATAGATATGATTAATTATACAAATGTTCAATGGAATTACATGAATATAATAAGAATGAGATATACAAATATAATAAGTTAGATCAAAGCATATTATAACTTTTAGATAAAACTTGATTTAAATAAATTTTTCTAAAGAAAATATAAATAAAACAACTCATGTTGTATGTTTGAAATAATATTTATGGTCCAAAAAACTCAATAATAAATAAAGTGTTTGAAACATAAAAAAGTTTGAACAGATATATAAAGACCATCGTGATAAAGGCATGAACAAAAATAAGTTAAATCTTAACATAGATTGATAAATAATGTGTAGTATATTTTAGAATATAAGAAAAGAATGAAATATTGATTACATCAATGTATTTTGATTATATTATTTGTTAAAATATATTTTTGAAATATAGTATAATTCCATTTAAACCATTAATCAATATTATTTCATATTATTACAATATTTAAATAATGAAAAAAATACTTAAATTATTAGTATAATATGAAGTATATTATTGGTAGTATTTACCAGAAAAAATTAAGAATAAAACATATGTAAAAATATAGAATATACACTATTATATAGATATTATATAAAAAATACAAATTAGTATTGACTTAATATAATTTTTACTTCTTTGATGAGAATATTATTTAGTAATATTTAGTATAATTTAATATAATAAATAGCAATAATTTACTTATGGTGACTTATTCAATAACCAGTACAACAAATATATTTCTTATTTAAGCTGAGAAACAGACCGATATTTCATAGTACTATTTTTCAATTCATTACTTAAAAGTATAATCTTAAAATAAAAAAAAATTTCATTATCCCAATTAGTATTATCATAAACTTTATCATTTAAATGTTTTTTTTTGCTTCTTATAAAGAAAGTTCTTCAGTCATAAATGTGTATGTGATGGTTAGTTTTTTATTGATATTTTTCTTTTATGGAATTTTTTCAAATATTTTATAATTACGTAAAAACAGTTAATGAAAAATATATTTTTGCTTAACTTTCTTAAAGAACTAAAATTTTAACTTCTGTTTTATTTACAATAAATCATAAATATCTATGTCGACATAATTTATGAATAAGGTAATATATTTGATGTAAAAAAATAAGAATAAATTTCATTAAAATACTCAGATTTGATCTATTTATAACTTGAGAAGATATTTTTATTCTTTTTTAAAATGTTATTTAATTTTATTAACAAAAAAATATCATTTTTTTGATAGGAATTTATTTATTAAGTTAGGCAAATTAATAATTTTTTTTTACAAGGATATTCTTTATTCTTTTTCATTTTTTTTATAGGATATAACGAATATTATTTGAGCTGTTATTTTATAAATGCCATTTTCAATAAATCATCGATGTAAAACTAGCTTGGGTTATTATATATCACATAATTTATTGGTTAAAAAATTTTGTTTTTTACATTATTAACTAAGAACCAAAAAGTAAATTAAATTCCTCTGAATATAAAAATGAAAGAACGTTAAAGAAAGATATTACAAAAAAAACTTTAAAGAGAAACTACGCTATAAATATAAATAGTATAGAATAAATGTGATTCTAATAAAAAAAGTGGTAAGGAGAGAAAGTCTATGTTTGAAAGTGTCAGAACATGAACTATTTAAACATTTAAACTCGAATAAATCATATAGATACATAATGAAAACTATCTATGCTTGTTTTATAGGTCCTTCTAGGTGTGGAAAAACTTCTATTATTGAAAAATATCTTCATAATAAAGAAGTTAATTTATATGAAGAAACTATTGAAGATGTGTATAACTGTACAATCCAAAGAGAAAAATATAAGGTTGAAATTAAAATAATAGAGAATGGAGGTAATAGAGAATTTAAAATATTAAGAGATTGTCAACTAACAAAAGCAGAATTTATAATTTATGTTTTATCAGTAACCGATAGAGAAAATTTTGAAAAAGCTCATAATGATATTATTGAATGTATTAATATTATTCACTTAAATAATAAAAAAGAACTACCAAAATTTATTATTGTGGCTAATAAGATTGATGAAGAAATTAATAGAAAAGTATTTACTAAAGATTTAACTAAACTTCAATTGAGTTTAAATGGAATTTGTGAATGTACTATCTTAGAAACTTCAGCAAAAACCTCTTTTAACTTAAAAACACTTTTTATGATGTTAACTGTCCCAAGAAGAACAAAAGGAATTTCATCACAAAGTTCACCTAATTCTTTTCCTTGTTCAACTTTAACTCCTTCAATTGAATCAAATTCCAATTTTATTAAGATGAAAGAAAAAAAAATTTCTAAACTCTTTTCATTCTTCAATCCATTTACAAAAGAGGAAAAAAAGTTACAATGAATCTTAATTTCTTCAAATTTTCATAACAAAATTAATTAATGTATTGTTGTTAATTTATGTTGTGGAATTAGTGTTTTGGTATTTTATAAAAAAATATCTCATAATCAATCTATTTCAATGAATCTATTATTCTATATAAAGAATAGAATTATTTCTTTCTTTAGTTTTTTTTTTTTGAAATAATCTAATATGAAACAAAAAAAAATTATTGTAAGGAAGTTTAATGAATTAAAATGAATTATGTTTCTTTAATTCTTGTTTATAAAATTGAAGAATTTTTAATTTTGTGTTATTTTAAATTTTTTCCCTCAATATATCGAATTACAAGATCTATCATTAAAGAGCTTTTTCATGACTGCTATATTATTTACTAAAATCAAAGATGGTAAATTAACTTCAAGAAGCTTTAATGTAAAGAGACTCTCAACTTCGTTTGGTTCTGAGTTCACTGATGTCATTATTGGAAATACCCTTCCACATCATTGTGATTTTGTGATGAACAACAAAAATGATGATAAAGGGTTTATTTTTAATTTTAGTGATAGAAATGATGTTATTGTAAATCGTTGTGTTGTTCCACAATATGCACAATTTGAATTACCTTCTAATAGTATTCTTCAAATTGCTAACTCATTATTTTTTGTTTCCATAAATCAACCAGACAAAAATTCCCAGGTATTAATTGATGAATACTTTAAATTTAATGAGACATCAACAAAACAAGAATATATAAAAACAGAAAATAAAACAAACGAGAAAGAATCACCAAAACAATCATCTGTTATAAAAAGTAAAAGTAGTAGTCTAGACCAATTGAATAATGAAAACAAAATAATAGAAAATCAACAACCTTCACTAGAACAAAGAGAAGTAAAAAATAAACATAAGCATAGAAGGCATTCTTATTCAGATGATTCAAGTGAAGATACTGAACAAAATAGTAAAAGAAAAAGAAAACATCATAGATCACATTCTAGACATTCAAAAAGAAAACATTATAAAAAGTCAGTATCTGATTCATCTGATACATCAAGCTATGAAGATCGTTATAAAAAGAGAAAAGGGTATAAACACAAAAGGCATTCAATAAGTTCATATGACCAATCTTCTAATAGTCTTAGCGAAGATAAATAAAAAAGTTATTGAGTTAAAGGGACAACAGAAAACAATCTTAGACTCTTTTTTTTAAGTTAATTTAGATTTAAAGTTCTATACTCGGTTCGCTTCATCTCATCAACCCAACCCTTAGAAGGTCCAAAATTTAATAATCATACAGAAATGAAAAATCAACCTTTAAACGACGTAAACAAAATCCTTGTAAATACAGAAGAACTTCAAAAGTAAAGAAAAAACTATTTTTATTAGATTTTACAACTTTTTACTATTTATATACTTTTTTAAAGGAAATAATGATTAAAAAAAAAGATATAAATTACCACTTTAACAAGGAAAAAAGCTAAGATGTGATGTTATTGGTCGAAAAATCTACCCTTTAAATATTAAAGAACTTCAAAACTATTGAATCAGTAAATTAAAAAATGCCTAAGTGTTTCTTATGTGGTAAAGAAGTTTATCCAGCTGAGAAAGTTAATAATGATGGAAAAATATTCCATAATGTTTGTTTCCAAACATATAGAAAACAACAACAAATTGAATATAAACATACAAAACAAGCTGAATATTATAAGAAAGCTGATGTTGTCCCTGCTTATTATCGTGTTGCAGATAAAGAATCAGGCGAACCTTCAAGAATGACTGCTGGTGTTGATGATGAAGCTGAAAGACAAAGAATTATTGATGAAGAAAATAAATTTTTACAAAAAGTTGCAGAGCAAAATACAAATAAAAATGTTGCTCAAACTACTGTTTGTGAATGTGGTCAATTAGTTGATAATAAAATGAATTTCTGCCCATACTGTGGTAAACCAATGAAAAAATAATTTAACATATTTTGTTATTCAATTGATTTGTTTTATATATCATAAAATTTTATTAATAATCATAAATTAAATAATTTTTTAATTGCTTTGTGCATTTATCCCATTTTTCTTCATTTTGTTTTAATAATAATTCACTTTTTGTGATTTGTTTATTAATCCAGTTAGCTTCACTGAAGTCTTGAGTTAATTTGAGTCGAGAGTATAATGTTGAAATTGTTTGTTTTAACAATGATGATTTAATATTAATATATTCAGTATATGTTTCAATAGTTTGTTCTGATACAATACCACATAATATAGCAAGAACAAAAGATGGTTCAATTCTGTATTTATTTTCTCCTTTTTTCCCTTCAAAATAGCCAAAGTTCTCTATAAATTGAATAACTCCAACAGAGGCATTTCCCCCTATAGTCATTGATAATCCAATGGTTTCATTAATTATTTTATATTCACAATTCCATCGAGTGTTTAATGGAGATTCAATTAAAGATGGATTATAAAACAACGAATATTGATATCCTTTTTCTTCTTTTCTTCTAATAATTAATTTTTGAGGTTGACAATATTTAACAAGTCCTTGATTAATCCATTCTTTTCCATCAAATACTAATTTATATTCTTTAAATGAAATTATTTGTTCATCACTTTTTTCTTCTTTTTTACTAATATCAACTGCTTCAATTAAGTCAGTTTTTAATAACGCATTTTTAATCAATGACACAAGAACTTCTTTAGTTGTATGTAATTTACAAATTTCTGTTGAGTCATATTTTATTAATTCATCAACACTTTCGTTAAATTGATGATATCCTCCTCTGCAACTATAAATATCATTGAAAGTATTTCCTCCACAACTAAAACTTCGTTTTGCTCGTTCTTCAATCTCATCTCTCGTTAATCCATTCATTTTTCTAAAAAAAGTTTTTTTATTCTTTTTATTTTTTGTTAATTAATAAATATACTATAAAATTACTATATTTTTCTATTAACTAAAAAAACCATTATTTTAGGAATAATAATGATTTTTTTGTTAGTTATACATCAAAATCGGAAAACAAAAAATAAAGAACTTAGAACATATTCAATTTCTCTCATTTTTAAGATTCTTCTAACCAAATTTTTTAGAATTAATAAAGTATAATAAATTAATCTATAATGATAATATATTTCTCATAGAGGCTGATAGAAATGAGTGCCTACTTGAAAAGAAGTTAGCAATCTTAAGAGAAAAAACCCTTTATAGTACTGAAAAAGTGAAAAGATCTAAATTTACTTCATGTTTCTTTTATTTACAATCCTCTTTTACTCTAATGCTATTGATTGTTCTGATGGACAATATCTTGATACCTCTGGAGAATGTAAAAATTGCAATACTAGCAACCACTGTAAAACTTGTTTTGCTGAAGATAAGTGTATTACTTGTGAAGATAATTATTACTTAGATAGTTCATATCAATGTACTTCAAGAAAGAATATATCGAATTGTGATACTTGGGATAATCTTTTTTGTACGATGTGTAAACCTGGGTATTATCTTCAAAATCAAGAATGTAAGGCATGTACAACTAATTGTAAATATTGTAATTCTCAAGAATGTTTCCAATGTGAAGCAGGATATACTCTTGTCAATAATGGAGGAAAATGTGTTGACTGTTCTAAAGAAGAAAATAATGCAGTTTGTGGAAGATGTGGTATTAATGAATATTTTGATGTAGATAAATTAAGTTGTCTTCCTTGTAAAATTAATTGTCAAAGATGTTCTAATGCTCAAAATTGTTTTATGTGTAATAATGGTTTTGCATTAAAAGATCCAACAGATCCACTTTCTGAATGTTCTTCTATTGAACATTGTGTTTCAGGTCATATATTTGGAGATCATTGTGAATTGTGTACAACAGGATATTATCTTGATAATGGAAAATGTTCTCCATGTTCTGAGCAATGTCTAAGATGTATTAATTCTACTAATTGTGTTGAATGTAATTCTGCAATGAAATTATTTGAAGGAAAATGTGTACCTTCTATTGATAATTGTGCTAGATCAAATGGAATACAAGGATGTTTAGAATGCAATGAAGGATTTTATCTTTCAGAAGGATCTCAATGTGTTAGTTGTCCTAAAAACTGTTCTTCTTGTTTAAATGAAAATTATTGTTTTAGATGTGGTCCTAATTATTACTTTAGTGGGGAAGAAGGTCAATGTATTTTAAAAAATTCTAATTGTAAAGTTACTGATCAATATGGATGTTTAGAATGTTATTATGATCAAACTAATTTGGAACTTTGTAAGGAGTATTCTGAAAAAAAAATAATTGATCCATTAAAATGTAGTGATACAACTTCTCCACAAACATTTGGCTATTTTCTTCCTGTGACAAAAAATAGCAAAACAAATGTTTTGGAATTTAAAAAAGAATGTGAGTTATGTGATGTTAAATGTAAAATTTGTGAATATAATTCAACGTGGTGCTCTGCTTGTAATGCTGGATATGCACTTAATATTAGTATTGAAGCTACTTCTCTCTATAAAGAATTAACTGGAAATACACAAAATATTTATAATTGTGTTGAAAAACCACCTGAATGTGTTAGAACTGAAATGGGATATTGTGTAGAATGTGCCTCTGGATATTTTTTAAGTGATGTCACTTGTACTAAATGTGATGTATCATGTGGTTCATGTACGTCCAGTAGTTATTGTCAAACATGTAACTCTGCAACTGATAATAGTTCAAATGCTTTGTATTGGAGACCTAAATCATTGACAGATGCAGTAGATGAAGCAAAAGGAAAATGTTTTTTAGTTAACATTTCGGAGAGTGATCAATACAACCTTAATCAATGTGCAAGTCTTATTACAACTTCAGGTTGTTCTATATGTAATACAGGGTATTATACACATGACGGTTATTGTCTCAAATGTCCTGATAGATGTACAGAATGTAAGGAACAAGTAGGTGATATTACTGGTGATGGAATAATTTGTACTGGATGTAATGATACTCAATACCTTACTACTGAAGATAACGCTACTTGTCTTAGTTGTGATAATATTAAACATTGCCATAAATGTAAAGGAACTGGGTGTGAAGAATGTGAAAGTGGATATACTTATTCAAGAGATAGACTTGAATGTACTAAAGTTAATCTTGCATTAATTCTTCCATTATGTATTGGTGCATGTTTAATTCTGATTGTGATTATTCTTATTATTATTTTCTTATTATGGAGAAGACGTAGAGCTGCTGAGAAACAACGTGAGACAGAAATTAGACCATTTAGAGTATCATCAGATGTTGAACTTGCATTGTTATCTGCTGATAATGAAAACTTCCCATTAAAAACTGAGAGATGGGAACTTGATTTTGGACTTCCATCAACAAAAGCCATTGTTGATACAGAGTATGAACAAAAACTTAAAATCATGAACACATCAAACAAATCATATTATTTTGAAATTCTTACAAACCCATCTCATAGATACTCACTTGAAGTTAATCCAGTAAGACAAACATTAAAAGCAGGATTTGGTATTGAAGTTACATTTAAAATTAAAATGCTTTGTACTGCTATTGTAAATGAAGACATTGGTATTATTGCTATGGATGTTGATGATAATAATAAAGAAACAGCAAAATTAAAAATTATTATTGAGTCTGATTTATCAACTAAATTAGACCATACAGAACTTAAACCTGTTATGCCACCAATAGGTGAAGGTGCTTTTGGTCTCGTGTTTAGAGGAACTTATAGAGGACAAGATGTTGCTATTAAAAAGATGAAAGCAAGAAATCTTACTGAAGAACAAACAAAAGAATTTAATCATGAAGTTGGTATGTTATCTCAATTAAGACATCAAACAATTGTTAGTTTAATTGGAGCAGTCTATACAGAAGGAGAAATTGCTATTGTGACAGAATTTGCAGAATTTGGATCATTAAGTAAAATGTGGGGAAAAAGAGAAGTTTCATATGATTTAAAGATTAAAATTATGGATGATCTTGCAGTTGCATTACAATTCCTTCATCAAAATCAAATTATTCATAGAGATATTAAAGGAGAAAATGTTTTAGTTTATTCATTAAATCCACATTCATCTGTTTGTGGTAAATTAACTGATTTTGGTACTTGTAGAAATGTTTCAGAAAGATCTCTTGCTAATAAAGAATTATCTACAGGTATTGGAACACCAACTTATATGTCACCAGAATCACTTCAAGGTACTTCTAATTATTCATATCCAGTAGATATTTATGCATATGGAATGGTATTATATGAAACTTTTAATGAAAAACAAGCTTATGAAAACGATGATAGATTTAATCAACCATGGATGATCCCTCAATTTGTTATTGAAGGCAATAGACTTGAAAGACCAGACAATATGCCTGACAACTATTGGAATTTAATTACTAAATGTTGGGATCAAGAAGCTGATAAACGTCCTACTGCTACAGAAATTTTACAAGAAATAGCGTCATGGAATATTGATATTAATTATGTTACTGGAGAATCATCTAAAAAAGAAGACCTCAACACTCCTCAAATAATTACTGAACCTAAACCAGACGTTGAAAACGAAATTTCAAAACCTTTAGACGAAAATAATAGTAACAGTAAAGAATCAGTCTCTAGTTCTTCTGCTTCTGAAAAATCATCTGATGGAAGAAAAGAAGATATTAGTAAAAGTGAAAGTAGGTCTTCTGCATCAAGTGATGATGATTAATTCATTATTATGTTCATAAATACTTGACTTGTCGCTTAGTTAAGATAATTTTTCCAAATTTTATGTTTGAGTAATTTTTACTATTATAAACTAATAAAAAACTAAAATAGAATTATAATTGATAGTATCTTAAAAATGGGGTTATGAACATCATAAATATAAAATATTAATCTGAATAGTAAAAATAATTATTTAAATAACAAAATAAAAGGAAAAGAACTTAGAAAGGAAAGAACTAACCCTTGAATAAGTGAGTGAAACATGGGAGGAGTCAGAACCAAAACAGTTAAAAGAGCTGCAAGAAATATCATTGAAAAGTATTATCCACTCTTAACTCTCGATTTCCACACCAACAAACGTGTTGTTGATGAAGTTGCTGTTGTTGAGACTAAGAGACTTAGAAACAAAATTGCTGGTTTTATCACTCACTTAATGAGAAGAATTCAAAAGGGTCCAGTTAGAGGAATC